TGGAACACCGGTACTTGAAGTCCTTCAAAAGCTCTTCAATTCCGTCCTCCATGGTGGCACTACTCCGGAGGCGTGGAGCAGAAGCGCGGTGGTTTTGTTCTTTAAGAAAGGCGACAACGCTCTCTTGAAGAACTATAGACCGATTTCCCTTCTGAGCCGCGTCTACGTGCTGTTTTCGAGAGTCATTACGAATCGTCTCGCACGCAGACTCGACGACTTCCAGCCTCCCGAACAAGCCGATTTCCGAAAAGGCTTCAGTACCATAGACCACATACATACCCTTCGGCAAATTGTACAGAAGTCCGAAGAGTACAATCTGCCACTTTGCCTGGCGTATGTGGACTATGAGAAAGCCTTTGATTCCGTCGAAATTTAGGCGGTGCTACAGTCTCTTCAGTGGTGCCTAGTTGACTGTCGGTATATTGAAGTGCTGAAGTGTTTGTACAGTAGGGCTACGATGGCTATCCGAGTACGGAACCAGAGTACGAAACCTATCCAACTGCAGAGAGGTGTAAGATAGGGTGATGTTATATCCCCGAAACTTTTCACCGCTGCGTTGGAAGACGTTTTCAAGCTACTGGACTGGAAAGGATACGGTATTAACATCAATGGCGAGTACATCACTCACCTTCTATTTGCCGACGATATAGTCCTTATGGCAGAATCGCAGGAGGACCTTAGCACTATGCTCAATGACCTCAATGGTGTCTCCCAACGGATAGGTCTTAATATGAACATGGACAAAACAAAGATCATGTTTAATGTCCATGTCACATCTATGCCGGTAATTGTTGGGAGCACTATGCTCGAAGTTGTTGACGAGTACGTTTACCTGGGACAAATAGTCCGACTAGGTAAGTCCAACTTCGACCGAGAGGTCAATTGACGGATTCAACTCGGCTGGGCAGCGTTCGGGAAATTACGACACATCTTCTCATCAGGTATACCTCAATCTCTGAAAACTAAAGTGTACAACGAGTGCGCGTTGCCAGTGATGACTTACGGATCTGAGACGTGGTCCTTCACCGCTGGCCGTATGAGGACGCTCAAGGCCGCTCAGCGAGCTATGGAGAGGGCTATGCTCGGAGTTTCACTGCGTGATAGACTCAGAAATGAGGATATCCGCAGTGAAACTAGAGTGACCGACATAGCCCAACGGATTAGTAAGCTGAAGTGGCAATGGGCCGGCTATATAGCTCGAAGAACCGATAACCGATGGCGAAGAAAGGTTCTCGAGTGGCAGCCTCGTACCGGTAGGCGTAGTGTAGGGCGATCCCCCACTAGATGGAGTGACGACCTGGTAAGACATGCAGGAAGTCGATGGATACAGGTGGCTCAGGACCGTGCTTTGTGGCATTACTTGGGGGAGGCCTATGTTCAGCAGTAGACTTGTGAAGGGCTGTAATGATGATGATGATGAAAAAACATCCTAGACAAAATCGACGATAAAAAAATCGCAGTAGGCCTCTTGCTCGATATGAGTAAAGCCTGTGATAGAGTTTGTTATAGAACTCTATTGGATAAACTGTATCAAACAGGAATTAGGGGAATAGCTCATAATTGGTTCAAATCCTATCTTAATAACCGCTTCCAATATGTAGAAATTGAAAATACCGACTTCGAGACAAGCAAAATTACTCATGTCAGATCGGATGCAACCCTCATTACTGGCTCTATCCCTCAAAGTAGCGTTTTTGGTTTTATTTTATTTCTTATTTATATAAATGATCTCCCAAACATACCGGACGATCTATGTGTGCTCTTTGCAGATGACATCTCCATCTTAATCTCTTGCACTAATTCCACAGATTTAACTACAAAATTGAACTATACATTAAATAAAATTACTGGCTGGCTACAATTACATAATTTACAACTTAACCTTAATAAAACTAAAATTATTCAATTTAAATCCTACCAAAAAACTGGTTTACAAATATCGTTTAACTATAAAAACACAAAACTAGAAACTGTTAACTCTGGCACTTTGTTAGGAATAGACCTGGACACACATTTGAGTTGGAAACAGCACATACAAAAAGTTGCAAAAAATATCCTCATTTATTTATGCTCTGCAACACCTTAAACGTGTGACAGATTTTAAGACTGCCCTTGCGGCTTACTATGCACATATCACTCCGTATGGCATCATCTTGTGGGGAAACTCTTGTGATATAAACAAATTATTTATATTACAAAAGAAGTGTCTACGAATATTAATACATTTGGACAAAATGGATTCATGTAAACCCCACTTCATTAAAAATAAAATTTTAACACTTCCGTCTATCTTCAATCCTCGAATCTTGTAAATTAGATAAATGAAGAATTTTTTGACGATAAATAACGACAAAGTAAGAATACTTCGACTAGGTAAATTGTATTTCAAATTAAATTAATTTATATAAAAAATATTGAATGTTGATGATATGATAATTTGTAATTTATGTTTAAAAATTAGATAATACGAAAATAGTTAGCCCTCTAGTGTTGCTATGCCCTTGCGGGGCGTCACATGTATACCTATCAAAATTGTACCATCTTAAATTTGTAATGTGACGTGCAATAAACAAATTGAATTTGAATTTGAATGGTGAACTATACTTCTTATTGACTACGGGGAAATCCGCGAAAAACGTTGTCAAACGATACTGTCGATTTAAAATATTAAGTGGAAGCTTATTATTGGTACTTTACGATTGTAATTTTCCTGCCTAATGAAAAGATTGGAAAATTCTGTAATTTTATTTTCATTTCAGTAGTTTTTAATTGATTAAGGTAAACATATTTCTTTAATCTAGCACCAATTATCTTATTTTTGTTTTTGTTTTGCTTTCTATTCACGATACAACGAACAATTTATTAAGCAGAAAACTTTAAGAATTATTTACTAATTTATTCATACTCGTACTTTAAGGATGAGTTGAGACTTGCAGGCGGGCCACATTCAGTAAGTCTTCTTAACTAAGTGGTATAATATATGAATAATAATATATAAACTTGCATATATAGTTTAGAAATAAATATATTCCTTTTACTTGTAGCATCATTCAGGGCTGATTTTTCAATCCTCAGTTAAAAGTTTTTCATAAGCTAAAATACAACATAAATTGCTTCTAGCACTTACCATCGAATTTAGAAAATGTCAAAAAGGTGAACGTACACATTTACACATATTCTATTAGCTTACTTAACAATAATTATAACAACATATTATTTTATATAGTTTCCATACATAATTCTTAAGATATTGCCATTTTAATTATACGCTCCACGTAGGCAATAAATCACTCGTTTAGGGTTTGACAGATGCGCCAAAGTGGCTATTTTGGCCGGGACTGTTGAGAGGATAAACAAAATAAATATTGCCGTTCTATTACTAAAATAGTTCAATTGTTAGATTTTTATATTCAGTTAGGTTATAAATTATTTAATGGATACTTTTACTTGAACCAACTTTTACCCAACCCTTAGTCAATAAGACTTCTAGCATACTGGCTTCCATCCATCCTTATATGATTAATAAATTAATAAATAATGCTTTACGTATTCAGCTTAATAAATTGTTTATTGTATCGTAAATAGAAAGAAAAAAGAAGACAATTGGTGCTAAATTATAGGAATTTGTTTTATTTGTAATTAACTAAAATTATAAATTGAATTATTTTTAGAATTTTCTAGGCATTTGCCTTCTTAGGTTAAGTAAATTACTATCGTATCATAAGCCTCCACTTAACATAATGCCGACATCGATAATATTATTGACAAAGTCTTTTGCGGATGCCCCTATACTCAATAAGAAGCTGTTTATGGCAGTTTGTGACAACCCTAGTTATGAGATAAGAACTCGATTCATCCATAGCTCATCCGTCCCAGTTAAGCAGAGAGTTTTACCAAAAACTGATTTACTATAATCACCCAAAAGATTGATTTTAATAAAACAATTATGATGTCGAAACAAATCGTTTTTGGCATTCCTTATGATCAGCAGTAGAATTGTCTGTATAATTATTTGTTGAAATTTCAAAAGCGTTGATAAATTAATTTAAAAATTTGTAATACATAACCTGAATTTAAAAATAAAACTGAAATGAAAAATTTTTTTTAAGTATTTTGCGACAAATGATTTCATATGTTTACGTGAACACTACACATTTAAATAAAACTAACTTATACGGATTTTTTCGCTTAGGTATATTAACTTATTTTGTATTCCCGTCGTTTAGAGTACTTCATAGCACCTATAGTCACCCATCTATCTTCTATATTGAAATTAGGATGCTTTTTAATTTCATTACCCAGAATAAGAAGTCTGCAGTCTGTGAGCACGTACGGGATTGCCCCCGTCACTACATCAGGTTTGATAGACCACAGATATTCGCTAAAGTATACCGATTCCTTTTCTTCCAAGGATTATTCGCGAGGCTATCGAAATTTCAATAGAGAATATAGCAGGGTGCTACCATCTACTTGGGATACTGTAATTAATAAAATTAAATGCCAACCCAAGCATACAACTGCAAGATACAAGATACTATAAGTTCATACTGCGTAGATCGGAGTAAAAATTAATAATTTTAATCTGAAGGTAGACGTGGTTAAGTATGACATTGGGACGTCGAAAACCTCATTTCCCGTGAACATGGGTACTGTAAAATACTCGAAACTGTTGGGAATATAGAATGAGATAACTAATTTTATTTATTTTGCGACAAATTATTAAGCAAAGATGTGAAAAAACTTTAAATTGCTGTCTGAACGCGTTCTACACACATTGATTTGTCAAATACTATTTGTTGGCACACACATGCAAACATTTTGGTTTGTGATTACTGATGACCGAATCCGGGGAGCCGGAATATCGACATCGTATGTTTGTTGCCGTTTGACATTTCATTAGATTGTTGAAGCTAGTAGAAGTGTATAAAAGAATTAGTTTCGAACGTTTAGGCATCAGTCGCTCATCCTGTAGCAACGAAACTAAATCAAACGCTTTAAACATGAAAATGGTACGTTATAGGGTCTTATTAATTCAAAGATGACAATTGAATTTTTTCATAGGTTTATTGTCAATACCTATTATTTAATCTGCAGATGATTGTTGCCGTTCTTGCCCTTGTGGCCGTCGCATCCGCCGCAGTGGCCAACGTAAAGCCCGAAGGCGAACCAGTGTATGTTGTACCTCCACTGACTCTTCGTTCTGAGTCAAGTCAACAACCCGATGGAAATTACGCCTTCAGGTGAATCAAAAACCACTATATTATTTGTATTTGTACGCTTTATGCTATCTACGACTATTGAATGACTATCATTATTGCTACGAAGAAAGTTATTTAGATTACTCGAGTCGTTTAAGAGTAAATTATTTTATAGGTAAATTATTAAAAGAAGTTCAAATAGTAATTCATTGTATTATATAACCCCACCTAATTTCTTTATTAGTATCTATGTAATTTACATTCATGCACGCTTTATTTTGTATCACTCTGATTTTCGATATTCATTTTCATAATTACTGAAGATTTTTTGAAGTGTTAAAGTTTACCCGATAAAATGAAAATAAATGTAATTTAAATAAATAAATTTAGAAGAACGTCAGCTTCTGTGCTAGCTCGAACACATATGGTTAATCACGTTACTCCTGCAAATGTATCTGGAGATTGTCGCAGTAGGAGAAACCGATTACAAGGACATACACGCCTTGCATCTTAGATGCTGTTCTATTTCCATTTGTCTGGACTCTCGATATTCGTGTATTTCTGTAGTATTAATATTGTATCGTGAAGCTGCAGTTAAACGATGTCTTAGTGATATAAAATTTTATATTGATTATTTGCTTTAGCTTTGAGACCGAGAATGGCATCAACCGCAACGAAAAGGGTGAACCGAAGGAAGTCCTTGACGAGGACAACAAGCCCAAGGTTGTCGTCACTGTCCGCGGCGCCTACTCTTACCCCACCAACGAAGGCAAAATTGAGACTGTTAACTACTACGCTGATGAAAGTGGCTACCACGCTGAAGGTGACTCAATCCCCAAGGTCGCCCCGTCAAGAAGATAAGCTTTTCAGAGAGTAATCTAACACAACATCTAATAATTGATTATTATGGAAGTCGTTTAGGAAAACATTTTTCCTGTTATTCGTTTTCACTGATGTACACTGCCAAAATTTTTACGTTTTATATTATCTGTTGAGTTGATATGCGATTCGTTTAGCAAATACACTTCATTAAAACTACCTCTTTGTTTTTTTAAGATCTATTAAATCGTTAACAGTTAACCTTGGACATTAGAAACTAACTTTTGTATCCATATGTTATAAAAGTTTACACGAAGATGGCGTATAAGGTGAACCTATCAATATTATTATCTTAACACATAATTTCATGAGAAACATTTTTGTCTTCATGATATTTGACATTGAGTAGAGAAAATATATTCAAGTAATCACAAGAATTAAAAAAATGAAGTAAAATAAATACCACTTAACAATACTTATTAGTAGGTATTTATATGTGCTTGCTAATTGCACAAGTATACAATTTTAATTGCAAGCAACTATTAAGTTTAATAATCCTTTCATCATTCATAATCATTATTCATATATTATACCATTTAGTTAATAAGACTTACTGCATGTGGCCCGCCTACAAATCTCAACTCATCCTTAAAGTACGAGTATGAATAAATTAGTAACTAATTCTTAAAGTTTTCTGCTTAATAAATTGTTCGTTGTATCGTGAATAGAAAGCAAAACAAAAAAAAAATAAGATAATTGGTGCTAGATTAAAGAAATATGTTTACCTTAATCAATTAAAAACTACTGAAATGAAAATAAAATTATAGAATTTTCCAATCTTTTCATTAGGCAGGAAAATTACAATCGTAAAGTACCAACAATAAGCTTCCACTTTTAAATCGACAGTATCGTTTGACAACGTTTTTCGCGGATTTCCCTGTATTCAATAAGAAGTATAGTTAATAGTCAATAAGTGTAGTTTGTTTCAGTTTGTGACAACACTAATGAGATAAGAACCAACGTGAAAGTTTTCCCAAAAATGGTTTTTTCTGATGATAATGAAAATTGCATTGAGAAAACTGATCCAGGAAAGTGTGCAAAACGCCTGCGTTTAAAAAAAACGGGCAACCACAAAACAGGTGACCGCAAATGCCCGGCTAGGAAGATGGCTGAAAATAAGTACATTAATTCCATAGATAATAGTGAGGGCGCCTAAGATTGCCTTCATTATTATTATATTTTAGTTTATTATATTTTTTTGTATTTTTTATTACTGTTGTTAACTAATTACTTATTCAGAAAAATAATAGAAAAAGTTAGGTAATGAAATCGATGCTGTCTATCAGTGGCAAAAACATGTTAAATTGATATGTGCAATGAATATTTCTTCAAAGACTGCGAACACTCTTACCATTTTAACACAGAACTATTGTAGTATGTATAAAGCATGGATAATTTCCATATTCTCCAGATTGGACACTGACTGCAACGTCATCATACTAACAGAATGTTGGCATCTAAAAGCTAAAATAACCTGATATTACTGCCAGGATACAATATTTTTAGCAGTAAAACTGTATACATATAATCAAAGAGACGATTTGATTCTTTTCGAAAAAAATATAAACGTATCAGTCGAAGAATCTAATATGCTAGATTGTAGTAGGTATTGGTGAAAGTGGGCCATGAAACTGCTATCCCTGCTGTTTGCAGACCTTGTGATTGTAAACAAATAGACAATTTTATCACGTCATTAGACAATACACCTAAGCAATTGTCATTCAAAAATATAGTGTTAACAGGTGATATGATAGATCTCAACCCAGAAGGCGGTGAAGGCAGAGCAAAAGACTACCTTAATATCTGTGCATGCCCAGGCCTGATTCCAGCACATTTGATCCCTACTCATCTGTATCCTGTTTATCCCATCAGTGGTTCCTGTTTAGACCACACTTTACTAAAAACTAAGTAACCGTCTATAACCATTGTCACTAGTCCTATAGTAACCGATAACAGTCGTAGTTCTTAAAATATCGAAACCTAAGTGTAAATACTGCATTCCTAAAACTAATATGAAAAACCTAGAACAAGCAATTGAAAACATCGACTTTAGCCCGGTTTGTAAAACCGATGACGTAAATTTTTCTTTACCTTACCTAATAAATAACGTACGAAATTCCATCGTTAGCAGTACTCCGTATACCGCAGTAGCTACAAACTAAACCTTATGGCAAAATTTTCTTCAGATCATTCCGGTTTAAAAATTTTGTATAAAAGACATAGGAATTTTTGTAACGATTTATTAAGGAACTTGAAGTATATTTATTGGAAGAGTCTGGTAGAGATAATAAAACGATTTGGCAGCATGTAAAAGATATTGGATTTATATAATTATAACCTAACAGCATGAAACTATATCAGAATTATTACAAAATAATTCCTCGCCACTTATATCAGCAAATACAGCAAATAATTACTTTTTGAACGTCGGTAAAAATCTTGGTGAGCAGATAATAAACAATTCTAACAATAATCATGAACACAGGGCCACTTTCTCAACTCAAAGAAACTTGCCAATTAAGCTCGTTCACATTATTAGATACGGACGCTACTGAGATGGAAAGGATTATAATAATGGGACTGAATCAAACAAGGGTGGTTGATTGGGACGGCGTATCCACTAGTATATTAAAAAAATAGACAAATTCAAGTACCACAGTTAACTTATATTTTCCAAATTTGCCCATCTGAAGGAATTTTCCCAGATTGTTTAAAAAAAGCAAATGTAGTTTTAGTAAAAAAAGCAATTAGGGTACAAAAAAAATGTTTCCAACTATCGGCTTATCTGAATAATCTCATCTACATCTTAAATATTAGAAAAATTAATTAAAAATAGATTAATGAATTATTTACATAGTAAATCCATATTATTGAATACGCAAAATGGTTTAAAGCCAAAACTATCCACAGCTGATGCATAAAAATTTAATTCGAACATGGTTAAAAAATTTGAAAAGGACGAAGAGAGAACGAAATGTGAAATATGGGTAAATCAGGAATGTCTAGAACAGGTAAATGAAATTGTATACTTGGGGAGTGCTTTCAGCCGGGATGGAAGATGTGATTTAGATGTGGATAGGCGTGTCGCTGCCGGAAACAAAGTCAATGGTGCCCTGAATGCATTAGTAAAAAGGCAAGGCGTGGTGAAGAGTGCACGCCTTGCAATACATAACGCAGTGTTGGTACCGACTTTGTTATATGGAAGCGAAACCTGGGTATGCCAGAAGAAGCACAAAAGCAAGTTGAATGCAGTGTGAGATGCGATCTCTTCGTAAAATGTGTGGCGTTACCGTAGCCGACCGAAAGCGAAACGAAGAGATTCGCAATATGGCAGGATTGAAAGATGACCTTATCACAAAAATTGATAGGGGCGTACTCCAATGCGTTGAACGAATGAGTGAAGACCGAATGGTGAAGAAAATATATAGAGCGAAAGTAAATATTAAAAGGTGTCGAGGTAGACCGAGACTAACTTTAGAAGACCATGTGAGCAAATTGCTCGAAGAGGGGAGGGTCAAGAGTACTCGGATACCTAGACGTGCATGTATGAAGAAGTTAATGAACCTGAAAGAAGCGAAAGAGGTATGTAAGGATCGTGACACTTCGGCGATCTGTTCTCTCTGGCTACCCCGTTAGGGATTGTGCGTGAAGATAAGTAAGTAAGTAAGTAGTAAGTTAAAAAATTTGTCATACGATGATACGGAAAAGTTGCTGATAGTTTTAAGTTAATTAAGATCATAAGTAAATTAATGACAATATATTTTACCGAAATAACCCTAATTAGTTGGCATGTTATTAATTTTATATAAGAAACAGAAAATATTTGCTAATGAATCTAATAGCACATACACTTGAGATACAGGTTTATTCTAGTTCAGGTGCCAGTTATTGTAGACTATTTTAAACTAAGACATTATTAGAATTAATTGTACAGTTTATTGAAATAAAAATGATTATCAAAATATTATTATTATTAAAAAATTAATTAGTTGGTTGTGAAAATCGGTTAACAATATGTCTACTTGATAAGAATTTTATAATAATCTTAATCATAATCTAAAGATAACAATCATTTAATCTATAAAAATAGTCATTTACATCGTCTGTAGAACCCCTGCGCCCCCTTTCTCAAACTTCTAGCTTCCGATACGGCTGAAAGACCTTACCAAGTCAAAGCCAGTCTCAGGTGGTCTTTAGTGGGTAGGCACTGAGGTTTCTCAGTGAGTCCCACATAACCACGCAGCCGGCTGCGTGGTTTGCTTAGACCATTCACCACCTCCCTCCCCGCTTCCCGGAGGGTAGCCGTTTACTTTGCTTCTGGGCGCAAAAAACAAAAAAAAATCATTGGTAAAGACAATGTGGCAGATTGAAGACCGAAGAGTATCCGCCACTTTATCTTGCGTATGTGTCAGTATAAATGGTAGTACATATATTTATGTGTAACAAAGTAGTACTTACTTATACCGGAAGTCAATACGAGTATACACTTTGCGTAAGTATTGTGACTTAGTTAAACCATTTTTACTTGTTTAATGGTTATATCCTTGATGTTTTTGGACCGTACCTTGCGACATAATCAGATGCTCCTATTATGCTTACAATGCTGTTGTTTGTTAATTTTTCAGGAAGGAATATTATTTTGTTATCTACGACCAGATACTTACTATAAAAGTAATACCTTTTTCTCCTATAGAAAACCGGTGAAAATAAAATGAAAAACAACTTTTACATTGTCAAGTATTTCCACAAGTAAATCCATAATTACCTCTTCTGTGTTTGATAAACTGGATGTGATTAATGGTGTATATTTTATAATAATAACTTTTTTATTTTACGTACAGGTAGCGATAACAAAATGCTGACGGAAATATGGAAATATAGGTTATTGACATATTATAAGGCATAGTTTTATCTCTTATCTCTTATTATTGAAAATTTCCTTCCGATTCCTAATAATATCATAAATAGACTAGTTTTTATAG